GGACGGGGGGCTCCGGCAGCAAACCGTCCGTAACCTTCCCAGGAGACTGGTCCAGGTGCGCCTGCAGTCTCTCTAACTTAGTTTTCAGCTCTTTGAGTTGGTCCTCCCGCACTTCTCGGGTGGCAGCCTTCTTGTCTGTGCAACGAGTTACTGGAGTCCTGGGAGACAGCGGCGTAGGCGGAGGAAGTGGAGGAGACCGTGGTACAGGATTCGGGGACATGGGACGATTGGAAGGGGCAGCGGTGGCACGCGGCTGATCTGCGGGCTGTCCGTAACCTTCCCGGGAGACCGGTCCAGGTGTGCCTGCACTCTCTCTAACTTAGTTATCAGCTCTCTGAGTTGGTCCTCCCGCACTTCTCAGGCGGCAGACTTCTCGTCTGTGCAACGAGTCCCGGGAGTCCCAGGAGATGGCGGCGTAGGCAGAGGAAGTGGAGGATACTGCTGTACAGGATGCGGGGACATGGGACGATCGGAAGGGGCAGCGGCGGCGCCTGGCTGGTTTGCGGGCGGCTGCTCCTCAGCGCACCCCTCTCCATGGCACAGTGGCGATGGCAGCGATTCTGGCAGTGGAGGTGGAAACTCCTGCATCAGCGGGTCACTCCGCACGTGATCCTTCTCCTGGACCGCAGGTTCCCCTGCCTCCACGGGCCGCCGACTCTGACACCCTCCTGCTTTCACAGGCAGCGCGAGAGTGCTGGGTCCCTGGAACAGCAGACTAGCCGCTGAGCAGGACCCTCCCTTGGGTGTTAACGCAGCGAAAGCAGAGGCAGCGGCTCCGCTCTCAGCTCTCATAGCTTTTAAAGTCTCATAGTTCAACCTCCACAAAGTGGAGAATTCGCTCGCTTCCTTGGATCCCATTCCTAATTTCTTCCCACAGTTTTGCTCCTATATCAGCCCATGTCTGAATTTCAAAGGCAATGTTAACACAGGGGAATAAGTCATTTCTCTGTGCCCAAAGCAGCAGAGACTTCAAGGTAGCCGAGTCATATTGTAGCCCTCTCACGGAGAGGATATGTTGGAGGAGCTTAACCACTGCTGACTCTTCCTATGTCAGTGTGGACCCCATCTCCTCGCTGGCCACCTGCTTGATCAGGGCAGGATTTCCGCAATTTCTTTTCCTGATTTGTGTGCTAGCGACTCCCAAGTGCTGGGGCAACACTCACCTTCGGCTAGCGTCCGCTCCCTCAGTGTTCGGACTTCATGGAAAAATCACCCGTGGATGCTAATGCCAATCTTGAGGGTCCCTGTTCGGGCGCCTCTTGTTGCGGCGGGATCAAGGACTCGACCAATATGATCCATAACAGTCAACTTCATTAGCAGAGAATCTGGATTATATAGACAGCACTCGGTACAGCACTCGGTTATGATTGGTCACTATTCATAGAACATCTATTGATAGAACACCTGTTTACCCACAGCCGGCCTCTTGATGGCCTTGAGGCCTGTGCTGCTACAGACCGGTCAAGTCCGTATTCAGAGTGTCTGGGTTGCTCACAATATGTCCCTGTTCTTCCAGAAATCCCACACATATATACTAATCCAGTGTTCAGTAGACTTCTGGGTGCAGTTGTTGGGGACTCAACCTTTTTTCTGAAAAAATGTGTTCAAATCCTAATTTGAAGCTGGATCCATTAAATGAGACTGAGGGTTTATGGCTATAATCTCTAAACATTGGTGGGCTATTTTGTCTAGTGACTTCTGTAATTAGTATTGTTAGATTTCTGACTTTCTGGAACACACAGAAGATATTTAAAGAACACTACAGAGACTGTAGAAATATTGAGGATCTTTATAAAGAAAATGAAAATGATCCTGGAAACTTAGTTTCTTTAATCTTCTTTACCTTTGTTTTGAAACATAAAATATTGTAGCCTGGCTTCAGTTGAAAATGATGTGGAGGAGCATGTTTTCAAATATATTGATGATGCCATAAATAATCTGTAGACTGAAGCACTGACACTGCCCAATTTCTGTAAAGAACTTAACATTTGTGACACATTTTTAAATATGCATAGCTGATGTGGGCATAGACTTTTCGTTGGTTCCCAGTGACAGCAGAAGAGGTGATAGGCACAAACGGAAACACAGGAGGCTCTGTCAGAACACAAGGAAAAACTTTTTTATTGTGAGGGTGGCCGAGCACTGGCACAGACTTCCCAGAGAGGCTATGGAGTCTCCATCATTGGAGATATTCAAGACCTACCTGGACACGGTCCTGGGCAGCCAGCTCTAGGTGGCCCTGCTTGGGCAGGGTGCAGATGACTTTTAGAGGTCGCTTCCAACCTCAGTTGTTCTGTGATTCTGTGATCAGTTCTGTTATGCTTCTTAATTCATTTGAATATAATTCCACTTTGACTATTTCTGTATGTTGCAGTTTGGCCGTGACTGGCAACAAAAGGACCACGTGGTCGCTCTATCGCCCCTCTCCCCCCGCTGGGGTGGGGAGAAGGATAAGGGCAGTTTAACAGAACAGCAAAACAAAGGGAACAGTAAAAACAATACAGATAAGGAGAATATACAAAACAAACAGCGAAATGCAGAGAGCAGCTCTTGGCATCCGGTGCCCCGCGTGCTCCAGAGCTGCGACTCACTTCCCGCTGCCCAGCTCCCCCAGTGGAACCCAGCATGACGGCACATGGTATCGAATACCCTGTTCTGTTTGGCCAGGTTGGGTCAGCCCTCCCGGCTGTGTCCCCTCCTGGCTTCTGGTGAAAATTGACCCTGTCCTGGCCAAACCCAGGATACTGTATTGGGATGAAACCAACCTTAGCAAAATATTTCTTCTGAGAGAAACATATTTTTCATAGCTCTACAGAATTGCAGGAGCAAAATAAAATTTTGTGCTCTCTAGCTTAAGAACTTGGAGTATTGAAGTTTAGCCATGTACACCTGTATTTTCTAAGACATTCTTTCCTATCTTTATTCAATAACAAAACCTTTCCCTTGAGCGTGGCATATCTTAATAAAAGAAAAGGGTAGGGACTTAGGTAAGCAAAGCTTATTGGTCATTTGAAATCTTTCCAAATTCAAGTGCAATTTAAGATAGGGAGATAGTGTCTAAAACTTCTGCAGAGACCTGACACACTGATCTGCCACAGGATTTGAAGTGGTTAAAGTATATAAACAATTCTATTAATTGAAACCATCAAAGAAAAGTCATGGCAATACTTCATGTTGAAAGAAGTACAAGGACAAGTCTGTTTAAACTCGAGCAACAGAATCACTAAAAGAAAGGAAAGCAGCTTGAATGTGAAACAGTCTATTGAAATACTGTTTTTGCTGTAAGACAAAGGTGGAAAGGATGCTAAGAGAGTTCAAGCTGAGGCTCAAAACAGAGTTGTGGGGTTATTTTTTTACCTTCTTTTGGAAGAAGACTGAACAGGGAAAGAAGAGATGTGGAGGTAAATGTAACATGAAAAGACCTCTCTCCTCAGTTTAAAAATATCAGATTTTAATGGAGGAATAACTGGGAAAAAGAAAAAACAAAGCCTATGCCTCAACTAGGAAAAACTTAAAAAATATGGGGAAAGCATTTAGTGAGTTTTTCTTTTAATGTATCTGGCACTACTCAGTCCAGCTATGATGTTGCAGCACTGTTTTTTTATGCCATTTCTAGAACATAAACTTACAGGGATGTTTTTCCTTTTGCATTTTGCCTGAGATTCCAGTGCTGGCCTTTAGCACAGAGTGGTTTTTAGCAAAGGAGAAAAGTGTTGGTTTTGAGTACCATTTGCAAGTTGTCAAAATTAACATGTGGTGGGATCTAGCCAGTAGCAACAGAAAAAAATGTTACATTTTTCTGAACGGTTCATGCTTAATATTTAAGGAGTAAATCTGAAAAATTAAAGATGATAACTTTCATCTAACAATTGATAATCATTTGCCACCACGTGGTCTCTAATTTTGCTTAATTCGTGGTTTCTGCAAAATTCTCAGAAAGTGACTTCCAAAGAAAGAACATTTCTTGAATGTAGGTCATTGGTGGTTACAATATCTCTAACAGTGGTCCTCTATGGCTGTTAGGTTTAGACTGTGTCCAAACAGAAAGTTCAGCCTTCTGTTGAACTTCAAAAATGCCTTAACGTGCTCTCTGAAATACTCTAGCTCACTTAAAACTTAATTTCCCACTCTTAAGTTCTGATTTTGTGGGAAACTAGATTTGCATGCAAAGCCAAACTTCTAGCACTCCATTTTATGTAGAGCCAAAAGAACTTTAAAAAAATAGCCAAGAATTAAGTCTTAAGCAGAAGTCCCTACTCTCAAAGCACTCTGTTTCATGTTACAAGTCACCCAGACGCCTAGCTCCGCTTACTGTTATCCTCATCTCTGCATTGTGATACATCACAAGCTACCTGTCACTTTTCAGCTGCTTGCAGCTGTTTTATCCTTTTTAACTTGTTCAAAGTGGAACCAAAAATGCAAATACATCCAAAACTTCCTCTCTGTAACTGGACCTATAGATTTCTGATCATGAACAGTAGCTTTTTTGTCACTACAGTAGCATCTAATATTCAGAGGGTAGCTGGAGAGACCAGGAACATGCTGCCCTGAAATGCTCAATTAGTCATCACTGGAAGCATGACATACTCTTTCATATCTTTATCTTGCCATTGATCGCTGAGAACACAATACTGAGAAAAAAAAACCAAACAAGGAGTATGTAGGAAGAAGAGTTTTTTGTAATCTTAAGGAGAATTCCTTAGAAATTGCTTGAAGTAGTTATGAAAAAGATGGAATCTAAGGAATATAAAGTCTGTTATGCTCCTTGATCATGGTATTATTGATGAGCTGACCTTAAAGTACCATGTTACGCAGGTACAATGTTACTGTTAGCATGCAAAATTGTGAGTTCTGCCAACAAGCTTAATACATGATTTTCTGACACTGACAATAACATTGTGTGAGTATTAGTTTAGTAAGTTTGAAAAGTGAAAGCTAGCTCAAATTCTGTATGGCTTATGTGTACATCTTTCCACTGGCTTGTTCAGAGTAAGTTTCTCAACATGGTGATTTCAGATACGAATAGTCTGCATGACTAGCCAAAAGTGACCTGGCTTAGTTTTCCAGAAAGGGTTAGTTCTTGCTCCATTGGTTTAATTTCAATTATGTACTAGTTTGTGATATTTTAAATTGTGCAGCCAAAATGCAATTCAAACAGGAGGAATTAAGCCAGATAGATTCTTACCTCTGACATGCTATTTAGATGAAATCAGAATGTGT